GGTGTTTTAATTATTCCTGGTATTTTTATCTTTTTAAGAAGGTTTTCACGTGTTTTGCAAGTTTGGAGAAAAAAAGAAAAGCGATCAGATAAAAGTCACAGCCAAAATGCAAAAGTTGAAGCCTTAGAAGCAAAATATAAGGTACATCTCCCCATATGCGTATGACAATGCATGTACGCGTATTGAAAGAGCTCAGCAGGCCAATATGTTACCTTACGTGTATCTGGGTAAAAAGAAGAAATCTCGACTCATATGAGTATGGAAAAGCAAATATGCATATCACTTGATGCAAGACGAAGACCCTTACGCGTATCAAGAAGCACCAACCATTTGCGCATACGCTTCAAATACGTTGAATACACGTTTAGGGTGCAGGAAATGAAGCCATACACATATGAAGGGCCCAATACGTCTATGGGAGCCCAGAAGTGAAAAAAAACCCCAAATTTTGAATTATTGTGTCAGAAAGTGATTTTTGAAGGCTAACACTTGATTTTTGACGAAAAATAAATTGAAGGCTGAAGAACACATTAGAGCAAAGTGGGGCATCATCTTCAAGGGGTTTTTACCATTGAAGACTCTTCATATTTCCTTTTTGTGTAATGTTTGAAAATTTTATGATGTTTATTGTTATTATTATGAGTAGCTAAACTCTCCAAGGTTAGGGATGAGTCCCTTGTTCTTGAATTTGTTGGTTTTTTTTAAAACTGCACAGTGTAATGTCTTATGTTTTATTTTCTATCAGATTTACTTATGTTTGAGTTTAATTCTTTCTTTTTCTGTCATATTGAGAATTGATGTACGATTATCAGTTAGGAAGGAATTTCAATAGTAACGCTTGATTTAAGTATTTTATATTAGATATCTCTTAGAACTAGGAATACCGTATAAAAATGATATATTTTTATAATGAAATGTTTAATTTCATTTGTAATTCAATATAGACATAGGAGTTAATTTGAATGTCTAAATATTTATTCATTAATGACGTAGTAGTAAACACTTTAGAAAACCGGTAATGTGTAGAGATAAAGTATATTGTTATAAGGTTAATTTAGAATTGTTTATGAATTCATGATCAAACCTTAATTTCTAGCATGTTTTACTCATATATTTTCTTCTTTATTAAATTGCTCTGAATTACTTTTATTTACTCTTTTGAAACATAATCCCTAATTACTTTTATTTAACAAAGTGAAACTCGAACCTTATATCATCACATAATTATTGAAATTAATATTTTGGGATTTCTCGATATTACTATATTGGAATATTAGTACACTTGTTAATTTACCGATCAATCAACCTCTGTGAATCCTAATTCATCAAGTTCTACACCAATGTTTCTGTCAATCCACTTGCACTTATATAAAGGCACTTTAAAAGTAACATAATCAATCTCCAAAATCTCCTCAATGACCCCAAAGTACTTTAAGATGCTAGTACATGATTGTTATCTTTGAAACTAGAGAAGTGCATGGATTCAACTTCAACCATAACCCTACTATTTTGCATGGTACTATGATCTTCCTTTAAATTTATATAGAATGGAAATTTACTAATGTCGTATGTACTCTAATTTATTACATTAAACTTAGGAATATGTGACATCCATTTAATCACATCTAATGCACTACTCTATTTAAAAATCATTTCTTTAAATCAAGTTATGAAAGTTTTGTTATGTTTTGTCAATAACAATTTTATCCGCAAGAATTTTTCCTTGATTAGACTTTTGTGAGCAGACAAGTAAGATTTAACTTCATCAATGTTGTTAATATATACAAATGTGCTTGAAGAACTACATATTGGTCAAATGTCTTAACATTTAAGCCATGAATACCTATACCATCATATCTTCCATCATGACGAGACTCAGAAATTCCTATAGAGTTCACTTCTAACAAATAGTTTGTACAAAACTCAATAACTTCTTATGTGATGAACCATTCAACAATTAAAGTTTCCGGAAGATGATGATTCTTTGTATACCCTTTAAAGATCTTCATGTATAGCTCTACCGTATACATCCACCATAAATAATATAGACTACAAATTTGAATCTCCCTTACTAGATGAACAACTAAGTGAACCATAATATCAAAAAATAATGGAGGGAAAAACATCTCTAATCTACAGTATCGATGATTAGTTCTTAGAAACTTCGATGCCCAAGGTAAACATTCTTTTTTCCATTTTGTAATTAATGGAAACATGCATCACTCTCAAATATAGGACACGCTTTATCTCTATCGAAGTTGTACCCAAAAAAATTATCGTATGTAGGAAATTCATTGATTGAGCAAAACAACATAGCATGCAACTTAAAGTTATCACGTGTATACGCATCATCAACATCAACGTCTTCTTCCAACAAAAGTATTAAATCTTCAATTAATGGCGTTAAGTAGATATTTATATCATTCCCTGGTTGTTTTGTACCTGAAACCATCATTGATAACATTATATATTTGCGCTTCATGCACAACCACAAAGATAAATTGTAAATTATGAGAATAATATACCATGAAGTATGGTTAGTACTCAAATTAGCAAACAGGTTCATTCCTTCGATGACAAGTCAAAACCTAAGGTTCTTTAGCTTAAGGGAAAAAATGGAAACAATGAATCAATTTTCTTTCATTGTAATGAATCAGTTACAAATTTTGCATAACATACTTTTTCATTTGCATGCCATATTGTGTTCCGTGCATCATTTACATTAGCAAACAATCTTTTAAGCCTTTGAATTATCGGTAGGTACCACGTCACCTTGGAAGGAACACCCTTTCTAGTTACACCATCATCATCTTCGGCACCATTGTCTTTTTGCTTGTAGCATGACTCCCCACACCTCAGACACTCCTTTAAATTTTCATATTATTTTCTATATAATATGCACTCATTATGACATACATGCATTTTGACATAGCCCAAACCCATTGGACACAATATCTTATTGGCTTCATAACTATGGTTAACGTGTTATCTTCTGGAAGCATTTCTTGCAACAATTCAAGTAATTTAGTGAAACTTCTATCTTTCAATCCACTTTTTTCCTTAAGACTAAATGGTCTTAACACATTTGAGAATCTTGTAAAGTTTTTGCATCCCGAATATAATGACTCTTCCATGTCTTTTTGTAAAGTATCTCTCATATGTGCTTTCTTAAAAGTATCTACTCCAATATCACAAATCATATCTTCTAGAGTATTATTCATAAATTCATCAACTTCAACTCTATGTGACGCATATCTTTTTTTTTGTCACTTCACTAAGTCATACCCATTTTGTGTATTTTTGAATAATTTCATCACAACCTAAATGATTAAAAATAACATCCCTTAGATGTTGGTATTTTGGAAATTTTTACAAGGACACCAAAAAATCTCATTATCATTAGGAAGGTTTTTTTCCACAAATTCAAGAAATTGAATGACTTCATTCTCATGCTCTTTATTTAGGATTTCATCCAAATACGATCCATAATCACATATAGCTTCCGAAAATAAAATAAAAATAGTACACAACCAATAAAAATGAACATTCCATCTCAATAAAACAACAACAACAACAAATTTCAATAACTAAAAAAATCTATAAAAAAAATACTACGTTATACCTTAAGTCTCAAAACTCATAACAATAAGAACAACAACATCAACGGGAACAACAACAACAACAACATTAACAAGAACAACAACAAATATAAGAACAACAACAACAATAACAACAACCATGGAAAAAATTTTACATAACAGAAATGTGATGAGAGACCCGAAGAAAAATGTTGTTTTGAGGTTAGATCTTCCTTCAACTCCTTGGAGAAGATGAAGAATGGTGTTTCAGTTAGTTAAGGTGTAAAAGAATGGTGCTCATTTAGTTCGCTGGAAAAGAATGTTGTTCTTTTCATTCGCTAGGGCGCAAAAAGTGAATGAGACTTAACATTCCAATGAAAGAATAAACTATGGTTAAGAGTTTTCATGTCGGGGTTTGGAAAATGAAGAAAACATAACTTAGGTAAAATTTGGGTTCCATTTAATTAAATAAGGCTTAATACTCTTCAAATTTTCTCCTGTATCTTAACCTCGGGATTCATTTTGGTCTCTTAACTTTAAAAATGTTCATATTGGTCTCTTAACTCTTCAAAATTTTCTATGTTAGTCATTTTTGTCTTATTAACGACGAAAAAATTCAAAAATTAATCGCTAAATTTGTCGCTAATTAGACAAAATGAACTAATATGAAATGTTTTGAAAAGTTAAGGGACTAATATGAATCTTTTTAAATTTAAGGGACCAAAATGAACGTTGAAGTTAAGATACGAGCAAATTTATTTTCCTCCTTGATTATTCTACAGAGTTAAAAAAAAAAATTTCTTGCTACGAGCAGCTGTTTGGAAGAATTCCACCGTAATCATAACTCAGCTAACAGTGTTTGCCAGTTAAGTGCTTACATGAAATAAATTCCTATCAACGTTGGTAAATAACAGCTCTCTTTCCTATATTAAATTTCTACTTAACAGCATCAAAATAGTTTAATATTCTGGCACCATGGGTTAGTTGCATACATGCATTAGGTGTGCCCTGCACGTCTCTCAAAATGTAGACAAAGCCAAACTTTAGTTGTTGTCAATCCAACAACTATCTACTGAAAATTCTAAATACACCTGTGACTCCGCCACAACCACCCTAAATGCCTCTCACTCTTTCTCTTGCCCATAAAATTAAGTAAATATAAAGAATCAGTTACAAGAGTCAAAACAAACAAGAAAAAGTGGTTCCATTTCACCTTAAATATTCCTTATTTGCTTAACTATAACAACTCCAACATTGTAACACTTAAACCAAAACCACATCAATATCATTATTCATTCCAAACTCATACTTCTCTCAACATATATATAAACCTCTTTATACAAGTCAATTTTCAAATCAATCATATCCATCTAATTATCTTATATCATCTTTAGCATTTCATATTCATCATATTTAGAAAACATGGGTGTGTTTCAAGTCATTCTAAGAGTATCTTTTGTGGCTATGCTCATCAAATTGGTCATGGCTACTAATCACATTGTCGGAGGACCAAATGGTGGATGGGATACAAGCTCAGACCTTCAATCATGGGCATCTTCCCAACAATTTTCTGTGGGAGACAATCTCGGTAAGCCATTAGACTATGTAGCACCGACAACTCTTATAAGATATGTGTCTGTATTTGTGTCGGAAACGTATATTGACATTCGTGATTATGTTTAATATGTTTCCGTTGTCTGTATTACGTAGCCACTAGATCAATTTTTAAACATCTGTTTGGTTTGACTTCTTTAAATTTATCTACTAGCATAAGCGCTGGTAAAAAAGAACTTATACTTTAAGCCCTTAATTAAGCTGTTTATCCAAATATAATTGCAGTTTTCCAGTATCAACAAAACCATGATGTGGTTGAAGTTACAAAATCAGATTATGACTCATGCCAGCAAACAAATGCAATTCAATCTTACAATGATGGTGCCACAACCATTCCTCTCACATCACAAGGCAAAAGATACTTCATTTGTGGAACAATAGGACATTGCAGCCAAGGAATGAAGGTTGAAATAGACACACTTGCCACTCAAATTTCTCCTGTTTCTCCAGCAGCAGCAGCATCTCCTCCAATAGCCGATTCTCCGATTATTTCGATCACTCCCTCCGCTGCTCCAGAAGAAACTACTACTACTCCACCTGCAGAATCTCCTGAATCACCAAGTCCATTGTTCGAAACACAAACGGAAACTCCTACGTTATCTCCGGTTATTCCTTCCACTGAATTTCTAGCTCCTAACTCTCCTCTACCGCAACATTCACAAGACGCATCGGCTTCATCGACGGTGAAAGGAAATTTACAAGCCTTCATTTCAATGGTGTTGAGTTTTGCGGCAGTGTTTATGACCTTCTTCTAAGGATGAGGGAAATCTCACTCAATTCAACCATTTCTAGTGAGCCTATTTTGTGTGAAAATTTGTTTTGATGTTTTTCTTTGTTGCTGTGGTGTGATTATTATGGCTTAAAAAATCAGTTAAAGTCACTTTTATTTTCAATCATGAGTCTTACATTTCAACCATTACATAAAACATTTTATTAATTTAGTTTAAGATTGCATTGTATTGTAGTAGCACAAACTTATCATATCAAGAACTTTCCAAGAAAACTATTAGTCTGTGAATTTCAAAAACAAAAACAATAGAACAAAGTAATAACTTGGATAAAAACATAATAAAAGCAAAACACACATACAATAACAATAACAGTAATATTATTTAAGCAACAATTTGACACACGTAAGTTCTACGATGTTTACGAGGTTATCGTAGTTCACACACATGGCAGTGAGTCGTTGTTAACCACTAATCCAGATGTTCCAACTGCAAGTAGATTTGAAGCAAATGATCCTATGATATATAAACTGCCACAATGAAATTAACCAATGAATGACATTCAGCTTGTGGCCAGCAGTTTGTCATTTAGCAGCCATGGCATTGGAGAGGAAGCTCGACAGTACACTTGTTAATTTGACTTGTTACAGCTTTTCTGATAAGAACAAATAAAATGAAACAGAAATGAAAAAGTGAAACAAAATTTTATACATCAATTTTGGGATATATTACAACATAGGTTTTCGAAAGTCTATCTTTTCACAATGCAGATTCTTCCTAATTTCCCTCCAATGCTTTCTTAATCTACTTTGCTTTTCTCTTTATATTGCATCTAACATGTGTTCCTAGTTCCTCAATTAATAATAATGGTTCTGACTGTACCCATTTGTAACAACTCAAGATATTTGATATTGTTTGGTTCTAAGGGATGCGCCATTTCTTCAACTTGGGTCGCAAATTCCAGCCCTAATGGGAACCTTACGCTTATCAATACTCCTACATAAAAGAATCACCGTTTCCCCAAGTTGATGATATGGAAAAACCTATGTTAATTTAGTCACATATTCCCAATTACTTTCACATGTAAGGAGATTTTGTTATTGAACTAAAATTTCCACATCTTCAGGTTGTAATTCATGAATATCTAAAATAGAGTTTAGATAAATATATTGTATTATTTGAATCGATCTCTAGTATCAAAAATGGTAGTTTCATAGTTCGACAGGAGTTGTGTATGTTATAGTCAAAATCGGTTCAATCATGTTGTCAAAATATGTTAGCTTTGTATTTAAGTTAGCATATCGAATTGGGCCTTATTTGTAAGCTAAATTGTTAAGTTAGTTTGTAGTCTAAGTTAATTTAGTAGTCTATAAATAGACTAGTTATCTCAGGTTATTGAGAGACGTTAATTGTTGTTATTCATTTGTAATCTTTGAACTCTTATTGAGAAAGCGAATAGTAAAATAGTTTTAACCAATTCTGATTTTTCTTCTTCTCTCTCTTTTGTAAAACTTAATAAGATTTCTTGCGTTTGTTAAAGAAATTCAATCTTTTTCTCATAACTTTGTCATGTGATTGACAACATCAATTTACAACAAACTAGTGCGGTGAGCGTTAAGGAGAAGATGGCGTCAACAGAGTATGATATTGAGAAATTCACCGGTGTGAATAACTTTGATTTATAGCGTTTGAAGATGCAAACCCTTCTTGTTCAATAGGGTTTGTTAGAAGCGTTGAAAGGATCAGAGAAGATGGATGTTGTCCTACTGGAGAAGGAGAAGACAACGATAGTCGAAAAAGTCCACAATACCATTGTATTGAGCCTTGGTGATAAGGTTCTCCGACAGGTTTAAATGGAGAAAACTGCAGTTGATGTGTGGACGAAAGTTGAAGGTTTGTACGTGATGAAATCATTGGTTTCTCTACCTAAAGCAACCTTTGTATTCATTGAAGATGAGTGAAGACAATGTCGTGGCCGAAAAACTAGATATGCTCCACAAGTTAATTATTGATCTTGAGAATATTTAGATCAAGATTGATGATGAAGATCAAGCGTTACTGTTGTTGTGTTCTTTACCTAAGTATCATGCTCATTTTAAAGAAACTCTCTTGTATGAAATAGATTCGTTGATCTTTGAAGATGTTCAATCTGCCTTGTACTCTAAGGATTTGAACGAATGAAAGGAGAACAAGCCATCGACAGTTGGTGAAGGTTTATCTGTTAAGCGAATATTCTTGAAGAAAGATGGTAGGTTTGAGAAGAAGAAGAAGAGGGGTAAAATTCTAGAGAATTCTTATGATGGTAATTCTTTGAAGAAGAAGTGTTATCATTTTAAGGAGGGTCATAAAAGAAAAGTATACCCTGATCGACTGAACAATCATGGTAGAAAGGATAATGGTAATGCAGCCATTGTGCAAGATGGTTATGAATCATTTGATGTCCTGGTTGTTTCAAGCAGTGACTTTAGCAAAGAGTGGATTATGGATTCAGAGTGTATTTGAAACATGACTCCAAAGAAAGATGTGTTTGAGGAATAGTGTGATGAAGATGGTGGGTCAGTGCTGCTGGAAAACAACAAAGCCTGCAAAGTTGCAGGTTTTGGATCTGTGAGATTCAAACTCCATGATTAGTCAATAAGACTATTGACTGATGTCAGGTATGTATCTGATCTTAAGAGGAATTTGATTTATCTTGGTGAATTCGACAAGAAAGGATATGTTTCAAAGGATAACAAAGTATTCTAAGGGTAATGAAGAGGACGAAGGAAATCTTGAGACGTGAAGAAACAAGATTTGTATACCCTTGAGGATGAGGTTGAAAGTGGTTCAGCAGATGTGGAATCCACGAAACCTGTGCCGAAGACTGAGCTATGTCACAAGATACTTGGCCATGTCAGTGAAAGAGGTCTTGTGGAATTTTCGAAACAAAATCTATTGTGTGGTGATAAGGTCAAAAAACTGGAGTTTTGTGAACCTTCTGTATTTAGTAAATCCTGTAGGGTGAAGTTTAATAAAGGTAAACAAAGAACGCATGAGTCTCTGGATTACATTCATGATAATCTTTGTGGACTTACAAAGAATCCTTCACACTCAGGTGCAAAGTATTTTCTATTCATAGTTAATGATTACTCAAGAAAGTTATGGGTATTCATCCAGAAGACTAAGGATGAAACTTTTGAAAATTTTAAAAGTTGGAAGACTCTGATAAAAAACCAAACTGGAAGGAAGGACAAGAGGGTGAGGACCGACAATGGTCTTGAATTTTAAAATGAGTTTTTCGACAACTATTTTGTTGCGTTTGGTATTGCAACACACAAAACTAATGCAGGTACTCCCCAACAAAATGGTTTTCCTAAAAGGTTTAATCAAACCATTTTGAAAAGGGTGAGGTGCATGTTGGTAAGTGCAAGATTAAAAAAGGTGTTTTGGGCAGAAGTTGTGGTAACTACAACATACTTGATAAATACGTGTCCTTTGACTTCCTTAGGAATGAAGTTACCAGAAGAAGTCTGGTCAGGACAGCCATCTAGTCTCGACAGACTTAGAGTATTTGACTGCTTAGCCTATGCTCACATTAGGTAAGACAATGTCGAACTTAGAGATCTGAAATGTATGTTCCTTGGATACCCTAAAGGATTTAATAATAATAATAATAATAATATTCCTCATAATTATGTTTTCCCTCATTTACCCCAACTTATCCTCATGTAATTACCTCCTTGTCCCTAAAATCTAAACACAAAGTATTTATTTTATTTTCACTAGTTAATATTATAAAACAAATAAAACATTATTTTTAATTAGCAAAACAACTCTGAATTATTCTAGTCACTTCTATCATCTCTATATACCCCTAACTCAAGGACACATACCTCCCAACACTCAGCCATAAAATAAATCATCAAAACACATAATTCAAACAATTAAAATATAATAAAATATCTAATAAAAAAACTGGGTGTTACACAAAGCTTGTTCTAACACCGACTAATCATCTGTACAAACTAAGTATGACTCAAAGTCCTAATACTGAAGTCGAAAGAGCATATATGAATAACATTTCATATGTCAGTATAATATGTTCTTTGATGTATGTTATGGGTTATACGAGCCTAGACATAGTGTATAAAGTGATCCTTGTAAGCAGGTATATGGTCAATCTTGGGAAGGCACACTGGCAAGCATTAAAGTGGATTCTTAGGTACATCAATGGCTCTTTGAGCAGAGTCCTGATTTATGGTGGAGCCTGTGGTGATGGTAGCAAATTCTAAATAGAAGGATTTGTTGACTTTGATTATGCAGGTTGTATGGATTCTATAGAATCTATTTTGGGATATGTTTTCACTATGTTTGGTATAACAATCAGTTGGAAAGCAACACTTCAGAAAGTTATTGTCTTATCAACCACTGAAGCAGAGTATATCACCCTCAATGAAGCTGTGAAAGAAGAATTATGGCTTAAAGGTTTTGCTAAGGAGCTAAAACTGCAAGGTCAAGTTATCACTGTTAAATGTGATAGCCAAAGTACAATACACTTATCGAATGATTCAGCCTATCAGGATCGAACCAAGCACATAGATGTGAGGCTACACTTTGTCAGAGAGATAATCGAGCGCAGAGAAGTCCAAGTGCTGATGGTTTTGACTAATGACAATGTTGCTAATATGATCACCGCGACATTTCCAAGTAGCATGTTTTTTCACTATATGCATTTGATAAAGCTAGATGATGAAAGGTAGTTAGTTTCCTTGTTAGTATAAAGTTGGTTCTAAGGTGGGGATTTATGGTTTTTGGATCAAACTCTAGTGTCGATAATGGTAGCTTCATGGTTCGACAGGAGTTGTGCTTGCTGTAGTCAAAGTCTGTTTAAGCATGTTGTTGAAATATGTTAGCTTTGCTTTTAAGTTAGCATGTCGAATTAGGCCTTGCTTGTAAGCTCAATTGTTAAGTTAGCTTGTAGCGTAAGTTAGCTTAATAGTCTATAAATATACTAGTTCTCTCAGGTTATTGAGAGAGATTAATTGTTGTTATTCACTTGTAATATTTGTAACCTTATTGAGAAAGTGAATAGTAAAATAGTTTTAACCAATTCTAATTTTTTTCTTCTTCTTCTTTCTTTTTCTCTCTCTTTTGTAAAATCCAATAGGGTTTCTTGTGTTTGTTCAAGAAACTCAATCTTTATCTCATAACTTTATTTTGTGGTTGACGACATCAATTTACAACACCTATAATTCTCGGTTCTCTGATAGCATTGGTGGTAAAGGTTGGAATTGGAATGAATCATCAATGGCCTTCTTGAAGAGAAAGATATGAAAGACTTGATGAGTTTTACTATGACATGGAAGATCCTATTTGTAAGCAACATCACCAACCTTTTTTAACACCTAGAAAGGACCATAAAACCAAGGGGGGGGGGGGGATTTTCATTTAACCCTTTTATCTAAACACATTCTCTTGTAAGGTTGCATCTTCAAAACACCAAATCATCAATTGCAGTTTCTATATCTCGCTGGCATTAGTTGGAGTTCGCATGCATGACATAATGGGACTTTAGCAAATTCTTTCTTAGAAGAGCCAATAATTCACCTTGAGAAATTGTAAGTTTTTTGACGTCTTCAAGGCAAAAAGGAATGGTGGCTCTCTTAAAATGTGAGTAGATCATGCCCATACAACACTTTGAAATGAGGAGTTTTGTTTGAAGCATTATAATTGGTGCTTCGAACCGTATATGGCAACTTTCTTTGAAACATTCCCACCTTATTTCTGGTTCTTGTTCTTCTATTTGATTAAACCATCGTTGTGTTTCTCTTATCAAATGAAACGCAACCAATCCTACCTTTTCTCCTTCAGCAATTCTTTGGTTTATAAAAAACCTGTCACATTGCTTCAACCTTCCTAATAAGTCCCTTGTTCCATCATAAATGAGAAATTCAATTTTAGAAGCGTGAAGTCATGCCTTCCCTCATTTGTGAGTTGTTTTTGTCTTTGTGGGTGTTATTGTTGCCACTATTATTTCTTTCATCTTCTAAATTGTCTTTTCTTGAACAATTATTCGTTTTTTGAACTATGATAGAGAGGTTAGCCATCTGCTCTTCTAAAGCAGTCTGCTTGACTGTGATCTGTTTCATGAATTCCCTCATTCTTAAACAATTATTTCTCTGTGAGCGTTATTGTTGTCATTATTATTTCTTTCATCTTCTAAGTTGTCTTTTCTTGAACAATTATCCGTTCCTTGAATTATGATAAAGAGGTTAGCCATTTGCTCTTCTAAAACAGACTGTTTGACTGTGATCTGTTCCATGAATTTCCTCATGGTTGATGCAAAATCCACGTCACCCATGCTACCTCTAGATACTAAATTATTAGGTCTCTTTGTCTTGAATCGTGTTGACACAATCCTAGACGCAGTAGAAACAATGCTTCGACCTATGATGAAAGTAGATACAGACTCTTTCTTGACAAAGTCTCTTCTTAAATTCACAAATATTTTTTTAATAATAATTATTGATGAATTTTATTGTTAATATGAATACCTTTAAATGCACTTCCCGTAGAATAAGAATTTCTAATTAAATTTGGTCAATAATTACTTTTCTGTACAACTATTATCATTTAAATTCAAATGACAACAATCCTAATTAATAAATAGATTATGTTTTAATTTAAATCTTATCCTAAAAATAATGAAATTCAAATTTAAAAATTATAAATATTAACTTGTTAAATATAAGTAAATAATAAATCCTAATTTGCATAACTAATCCGTCCCTATCACAATATTAGTGTAAGAGGAGTAATTGACTTGTAAAAGGTTTTTAACAAACTTTTGATGCAGTGTGAAGAACTCAAAATTCTTACTTACACCAATTAGGATATACAATTTAGGATATACATTTGTTTATATAGCAATATATTGCATTGTAAGCTATCATACACTATCAATTAACATATAATTACTTTTATAAGCTACAATTAACAACAAATAACTAACTTTCAAGTATAAATATAACTAACTAACAACTTCCAATCTCTTTGTGTTTTCATCTTGAATCCTTCCTCTCCTTATTTTTCTACATTAGATTTCTACTTGACAGCATCAAAATAGTTTAATATTCTGGCACCATCAGTTAGTTACATGAATTAGTTGTGCACCACTAGGGAACTTGGAAATCCTCAAACTGATTGCCCTGCACATCTTTCAGATATTCAACAAATCATAAATAAAATACTTTTTATTCCCACCAGTCTTATGCACCACATTATTACTCATTCCAAATTCCTTTTATGCTTCTCTCAGCATATATATAAACCTCTTCACTCAAGTCAATTCTCAAATCAATCATATCTATCTACTTATCTTTGATCATATTTAGCATTTCATATTCATCATATTTAGAAAACATGGCAGTATTTCAAATCATTCTAAGAGTATCTTTTATGGCTATCCTCATCAAATTGGCCATGGCTACTAATCACATTGTTGGAGGACCAAATGCTGGATGGTATACAAGCTCAGACCTTCAACTTTCAGTCGGAGACAATCTCGGTAAGTCACTACATAAAATTCTGAGGATTTGTTTGGTTTGACGTCTTTAAATTTATCTATTGACATAAACACTTGTAATGCCGTTTTGAAAGAGTCCACTCAAATTTCTCCTGTCTCTCCAGCAGCAGCATCTCCTTTAACCGCAGATTGTCCAAGTATTTCAATCATTCCATCTGCAGCTCCAGAAGAAACTAATTTTGGTTCACCTGCAGATTCTCCTGAATCACCAAGTCTGTTCTTTGAAACACAAACGCAAATTTCTCCGTTATCTTCACTGTTTCGTTCCAGTGCATCTGTACCTCCATACTCTCCTCTAGCACAACATTCGCAGGATGCGTCAGGCTTCATGGATTGAGAAAGAAAATCTATAAGCCTGCGTTTCAATACCTTTTTAGCGATGTTCATGGCCTTCTTCTAAGAATGAGAAAAATCTCACTCAACTAAACCATTTCTAGTGAGCCTATTTTGTGTGAAAATTAGTTTTTAATGTTTTCATGAATCATGACTCATGCATTCCAACCATCAAATAAAGCATTTTCTTACATTAGTTTAAGATTCTATTGTAGCAGCACAAATTTATGATATCAACCAAATCCAAGCAAACTTTTAGTCTGAATTTAAAAAACAAACAGAAACAAAGTGCATAACTTGGACAAAAACATAATACAAGCAAAGAACGCATTTGATGACAGTAATGTTATTCCAACAACAATTTGATACACAAATTCAAGAAGTCCGTGTATCAAGTTGATGTTCGAATAACATTTTTGTACAATAAGAGAGTGGACGCTGTTGCTAGCCACTTTAAGCAACGGGTGGTCGAAGGAGATGATCCTGTGATGTATCAATGGTAGCAGGTGACATAAACTGCCACATTGAAATTCCAGGATAACCAATGAAAGGCATCAGCTTGTGGCCAGCAGTTTGCGCTTTAGCAGCCATGGCATTAGAGACGAAGCTTGACTGCACACTTGTTAATTTCACTTGTTGTTCCAGCTTTTCTTTGTCTAGCTTCAGCTTATTCTTCTCGTCACGAAGCTCGTTCTTCTCAGCCTGCAAAATATAACTTTTCAGAACCATGTTTCCTATATAAAACTTTTACTAAGACACTATCGCCTAGCACAACGTGGATTACATAACTAAGATGAGAAAAATCACCTTAAGCTCTTTAACTTTTTCGCGTAATTCATCATTCCTTTCCTTGAGCCTCTGTGTTTCGTTTCTTAATTGAGTCACCACTCGAACCGCATCATTTAATAGAGTAACCTTATCTGTTTTGGGCAGTGTATCAGGCTCTAAGACAGAACTCAATTCCAGAAACCTTTAAACCATGTCAAATTGAAGAAAAGAAAACGTGAGATTTTAGTTTCAATCCTATACACTCAATCAAAACCTTGCGAAAACAATAACATACTTATCATTCAGTTTATCCCTTCTCAATTTCTCACGACCTGCTTTGGAGCCAGAAGCATATGATTCTGTCCTTAACCTGAAATCACAGTGGCATATTAACTGGTGAATTAAGATACAAATGAAGCAAAATCAGTCACAAAATTCGCTATCTTTTATGAAGACAAAGAAGATGTTACCGCTTTGAAGGGCCATTTTCGAGTAAAGTTGAATCAAATGAATATTCCATTTCCAAGCTGCAAATATAGAGTAATAATCAATCATTTTTATTATGTTAAATACTATTGATAGAAACATAATAAATTATAACTTGAAGTTATAATTTGAAGGTTTTGCCTCTAGAAATGATTTTCAACTTCAAATTGATCATTAATATAACAAAATTCATCCAAAATTAACTTTTACAAAAGCACGATAGAGATAGATATTACCGCTTTAAAGGATTTGAAGGGCCACTTTCGAATACAGTGGTCGAATCTAGTGAGTATTCCATTTCCAAGCTGCAAATACAAAGTAACCATAACAAAGCTTGGACTAATATATATCACTAAATCAATATAATCTAAAATTCAACTCAGAATAATAATATTTCAGAACTTCCAAAAAAGAAAGGTGAAGAAGAAGAATAGAAAGTAACCTGATATTGGAGGAAGGAGGGTTGATGATGTGAGTCTGAGACTGAGAGTGAGGCATCCAGTTGAAAGCAGCAGCAGAAGAGTAATGATCAGAAGGAGCCATGAAATCAGCAGCAGCAGAAGAGGGATGATTAGAAGAAACCATGAAATCAGCAGCAGCAAGAGAGATATCATAGCCATAATCATAGAGCCAACAAGAGGAACCACCACCAGTGGAATCCATGTCCATGTGAGGAAGGTAGAGAGAGTGTGTAACTAACTACTGTGTACTACTACTGTATTTTTATCAATATCATCAATTGATGGAGTCATGAAATAGCGTGAGAATAAAATAATAGTAACATTATATATTCATTAATTTGTTTGTTCTACTTGTCCCTTTGGGATTTATCATCAGTAGCCGAAGTATTGTAATTAACAAGAGTGAAGAGAAAGTCATTGGTGTGAGTGTGATGTGCGCCATGGTTAACATTACGTTGAAACAGTGTAAGGTATCAAATTATACGTCATCTCTCTGCCTTCGTATAATTCCTTTCACGCATGTTTATATACCCATTCATTTTTACGTCAATATTATCATTATTGGTATATTTAAATATATTAAAGATTAATTCTTCATACAATAGATAGCTAAGCTCTTCTTCAGATTTTAGAGTTTTGTTTGAATTTGTTCAGGCAGTTTTTTACATTTTTTTTATTTACTTATATTACTTCCATATTGTGTAAAAAAAAAAATACTATTTTCAATTTTCATTATAATATTATCTTGAGTTTCTAAATTTCAAAAAAAAAATTGAAATGAGTTTCTCTATGTCACGCAGCAAGGTTATACTTTAGGGATGGTTATATTATGTCGGATACTGGAGTGCAATAGGGTGATTCTTAGAGCCGCTCATTTTTACCCTTATGTTACACCTGTTTATTCATGTCTGATACCTTGATGATGGGACCATCATAGAAAAGTCAGAGGAGGTGGCTAAAACCCTTGACATTATTTAAGAGACCGGTCCAAGATTAGGTATTGAATTGAATATTCATAAGACAGAGATGTTTTGTCCTTCGTATGATGATAGTAAACTGCATGGGGAGTTGTTTGCTTCATACATTGGAAGGCTGGTGTTGGGGACGGAGTTGCTTGGAAGGTTGTTAGTTGAGATGAAGGCTTTATCGAAAGGTTATCCATGAAGAGAACGATCAAGGTTGTTGAGCTCATGCATCTTCTACCACGACTAAGGGATCCTCAGAGTGAGTTTCTACTACTTCTTTCTTGCATGAGTATCGCCAAACTCTTTTTTGGCCTTAGAACACGTCAACCTAATCATATGGAGAAAGCAACTATTTTGTTTGATAAAGAGTTGCAAAGGGCACTTTCTTTAGGGACCTTCAATGGAGGGTGTCTTCTTTGCCTATTAGAGTTTGAGGTTTGGGTTTATACTCAGTAGTAGAGGTTGCCTAATACGTGTTTGTGCCTTCTAAGGCTCAATATTGGGTGTTACATGATCATATATTAAGAGGCGGTGGAATATATGGTATGGACTTTGATTTCGATAGAGCTTTGGATGGTCTTAATATTGTGATTCCGGATTTTGACGTTAACAGTTTTACTAGAAATGACATCGTCCCTCCTAAAGCACAACATGTTTTGGCGAATGCCCTTTTTAGTAAAAGTGTTCAAGACATAGATGTAAAGTTTGACATGACCACAAGACAAAAAACATTATTTGGTTGATTTAAAGCAGCACATGCTTAAGATATTATTCTTGCTATCCCTCTTGACGATCTATGCCAACATATCTCACTGATAGAGTATCGTACCATCCTTAAATACCATATTATGATTCCCTTATTTTCTGTTTATGAGGTTTTGTCTATTTATCGCAAGGCATGCTTGGATACATTTGGATAATATGTTATTCATTGCAAGGAGCTTCCAGGATTCAAATATCGACATGACTTTGTTAAGGATGTCATATTTTATATATTTAGGCATGCATGGGTATCTGTGAAGAAAGAAACCCTTGTGAATTTCTTGACTAAGACATAGGAGGGGAGATCTACTCTTAGGTCAGATGATGTTCTGGTGTATGGATAGGTAGGAGGGAAACATGCATGTGTTGACTTGACCAGAGTTTCCCCATCGAAGGGACTAAGCACTGTAGGTTTTACTATGGGACAAGCAACTCTCAAAGCCGCTTCTAGTAAGATGGTCAAGCATAAGAATGCGGGTTTTGACAATCAACAGGGTTTCATATCATCTGTATTTGACACCTTTAATTTTCTAACACCAGAAATAGTGAATCTTTTATGGAGAGAGCAAAGGCGCATGCATAACAATGTTGTGTGACCTAGTATAATGAATGTAGTATTTTAGAGAAATGATTTTGTCATCCAAAAAGAGTAGTAGCGCAACTTGCCTACTATTTGTGTATAAAACCAAAATAAAATTTGATTATAATATATAAATGAGATTTCTATTAAAATAATTATAATATTAATTAGTTATAAAGGTTGATAGATTTAAATGTATATTTGATCTCCTATTTTCAAAACAAAAGCAATTCATCTCTATATTTAAAATCTTGTTTTATTCATTTTTAATTTTTTTTTTAAAAAAAATAGACTTATGGCAAATTTGGTTCTTCTATTTTGTCTTTTTTTGAGTTTTGGTTCCTACATTTTAAAAACCGCAATTTTATTTTTTTTTTATGTTTTGGATTGGATTTTGGTCTCTTTTGGAGACTAAAATCCAACACAAAAACTTAAAAACGGACAAAAAATAAGGTTTTTAAAATTGAAAGATCAAAACTAAAAAAAATAAAATAGAAAGATTAAAATTGCAATTAAATCAAAAAGATTAATATAAATTATTAATAAAATACCTTATAAAATATTAAGTAAATAGTAAATTTGTCTATAACACTATTGTTACTTGAGTAAAATTCTTAAATGAAATGAAAAGCTAAAACTCAAAAAAGAAAAGAAAAAAAATTGTGGTTCTAAAAAGTAGATTCTTAAAATGAAGATCACATTTTTATTTTTTTAAAAAACATAAAAAGACATAGGGAACATTTAAACTTAAATATTGATTAAAACACAAAAATTAATGGTAAACATATTGATAAAATATTTTTTATAACAAATAATAAAATAAATTTTTTTGTATGTGAAAATATTTTAAAACATCGATTAAAAAATTATTGAGAATTTATCGATTAAATAAAAATAAAGTTAATGTAATATTTGGAAATAAGGATAAATCTTTTCTAGTTTTCTCATTAAAAAATTTAAAAGTGAAATTATAAAAATATGAACGAAAAAAATGAGAATATATTCTCTAATTTAAGTTATCATGACCAATTT